CCCAAAACCCCAAAACCCCAAAACCCCAAAACCCCAAAACCCCATTAATAACAAAAATAATTGAAAAATAATGATATTTTATAATTTCAGATTAAAAATGCCAAGAATGCAGCTAATTTTGATAGCTTTCTGATGATTAATCAGCCGTACAGCAGCCCAAGAAAGTCAATGAAGTTCAAAATTTCAATATTTAAGTCTCCAGGCTTGGCTTATGACTAGCTTGATCTCTCTGAGTTATGGCGCTAGTGCCTCTGTTACAGAAGGTAATATACTTAAATAGACATTAAAACCTTCTAGAAGCTTAACAGGTATAGACATAAATCCTCATGAGGTGCTCAGTAATGGACAAGAACAGCCACTCAATAAGACAATCTTTGATAAACCAAGACTTAAATACAGGAATAAGTACTGGTCGAATAAACTCAATCTTGATGACTTCATCCAGCTTGAGAACCGCACGCTGCAGGAGATCTACGACGATATCCTTGCCCAATGGTCAATAGTAAACTACGAAGCTCTCAACATCGAACAGGTCATTACCAGGAACACTAACGAAGAGATGGAATATTTCAACAGCCCTTGTTCTGACAAAAAGGATCTCACTGCTTTCGAAGAGAAAGAGGAGGAGAATAAATCAAGGTACCTACAAATGTGAAAAGACCTTGTAAAAAGCACTGATTTCTTCCTCAAAAATGCTGTGGCAGTGGTGAACAGGATAATTTCTAACAATAATTTAGAAGATCACCCAGAGGCGATCTTCACATCATTGACCAAAATATTTAGCTTTGTATTCAGCCACATCGAGAGGTGGCGGAAAAGGTTTGATTTCATGAATGACTATGAGCCTACACAGGTGAAGATCCCGAAAATTATCAAGCAACTAACCCTTATAATCAATTCAATGGAGAGACTGAAGTCTGAATGGAAGGCAAGCTCGATGATACCTCCACATCATCCTGGGTTAGATAGGAGACATAATTAGTCACCAATTTCAGGGTTTTAATATTTTATGTGTCAGCAAGGACAATAATAACGGGGTTTTGGGGTTTTGGGGTTTTGGGGTTTTGGGGTTTTGGGGTTTTGGGGTTTTGGGG